GATCAAACATCGACGACGACGACGACGACGACGATGACAATTTAGTTACGAAAGAATGTGTCTAAACGAGGGATCTTCGACGAAAAACAGGCAGCAGTTCTTCCGAAAAATTAAAAAAAGAAAAAAAAAAATAGAAGAAAAAATAAAAAAAAAACAAAAAGAAAAGAAATTAAATAAAAATAATTAAAAAAGAAAAGAAAAAAAATAGTACAAAATGCTAACTTGCTATGCAGAAATTCGCTTAAACTTTTTTTTTACCGCGAACGAGGAATACATTTCAAGATAAAGTATGATGATGATGATGATGATGATGATGATGATGATGATGATGATGATGATGATGATAATAATGAATGCTAATAAGCGATTTGGAAAAATGTCGAACATATTAGAATTATTTCTAATTGCCAAGCCTTTTTCGAGTACCCAGATTATTAGAGTGTATGTAGCGAAAAAAATGATGAGCTCGAATTACAAAAAATAATTTAATAAATAAATGTCTTTGTTGTATACTTCGGTAGAATTCCGGTGCTAAATAAAATTAATTAATTATAGGCTCGTTTACACACGTGTACACTCCAATTGTCATATAAATACATACTATTTTGGCCGATGTTTATAGAGGAAAAAAAAAAAAAAAAAAAAAAAAAAAACAAGGAGAAATGTTTTATTTGAATTAATGATCTCAAAGATGTGAATCTAATGGATCCTAAACTGGCCTAACAATTAATGATTATTTAATTATTTATGAATGTGAAAAAAATTCAATGGAATATACCATTCGATATTATAATTGGCCTTAGAGTTGGAGTGTTAATTATATGTAAAAATATAGTTAACAACAACAAAAATTTCTTTTTATTATTTTCTTATTTATTTATTTATTTTTTTTTTCTTTATATACTCATGAAAATCTTTGTTTTTAACACGTGATCTCTCTCTCTAACACCATATATATCGTACGATTTGTTATTAAATTATAAAGAACACTGCAATTCTAATTTCTAAGAAACGTGTGTGATAAAAAGAAGCAAGAAAAAAATGAATAAATTGAGTGCAAAGGTAATAGTAGATAATTAAAGCATATATTATAAGAGTGGCCTAAAAGAGAGCGAATATGAATTTATAAAAATTCAATAATTCGATTATATAGATCTAAATTATAATGAAGAAAATTTTGAAAAAAGTATATGCTTTAATCTACTTTCATAATCACATTGATTCATGTAAAATATATACATAGATATATATATATATATATATGTATGTATATGTATATGAATTATCAAAAGACATTTAATTATTAACATAATATGAATAAATAATAAACAATATTATAATTGGAGCTAGACGTTTTAAATTAAAAAGTTGAAGTTGCAAAAAAAAAAAAGAAAATCATAGGCTCGTTCCACCGAAGTGTACAGCAGTTTTATTGCATATACACACAAAATATATACATAAGAGCACGCATACACAGACACACATATTACACATAGGGAGGAGCAGAAGTATGAAACTTTAATCCAGTAACAGATAATACGATTTTTAAACAAAGTAACAAAAATACGATAATAGATCTGATTCTTTCGTTTCGCTATTGTAAAAGCTGACCTTTAGTGCCATGAATTAAATCGCGATTGAAGATGATGTTGCTGAGAATAATGAGGAGGAAGAAGAGATTCATAAAAAAAGAAAAAAAAAAGAAAAAAAAACAAAAGGGGGAGAAAGTAATAAACAAATAAAATGAGAGCGATTTTTAATATTACAATCGCACCCACCAATCTGTCATGGTATAATATTTTCTAATGACGATTTTTCTTTTTCTAACCGAGCGAAAGAAAATGAAGAAAAAATATACTATATATTTTACATATTGCATATAGTATCGAGCGACGATATTGTACGTAGATTCTCGATAATTCATTACAACAACAAAAAAATGAATAATAATAATAATAATAATAATAATAATAATAATAATAATATTAATAATAATAATAATAATAATAATAATAATAATAATAATAATAATAATAATAATAATAATAATAATAATAATAATAATAGTAACGATCCAACTGACAGAGAAGAAAACTCGACATTGTTCGTTTTTCTCGAAAATATTAAAAAAACAACAAAAAATGAAAAAAAGAAAAACATTCTTTGGCAGACGTAATTTATTAAGATTCGTAAATAATATTAAGAGAAAAAAAAGAGAGAGGGATAAAAAAAATAAGAAATATAAAAAAGAGATGGGCGTAAAAGACAGAAAAATAAAAGAAATTAAATAAATAAATAAATGAATAATTAAAAGAACGCGTGCATTTGCTGGATATAATCCTCGACAAATTATCTTAACGTTCGAACGGATTTAAACGTTTTAGAAAAGAACAAATTCTGTATGTAAATATACGTCGAAGAAAATATAAAAAAAAAAAAAAAGAAAAAGAAAAAAGAGCGAAAAAAGAACTAAAAGAAGAAAACAAAAACAAAAAAATTACGAGAAGAAAAAAGAAAAGGTATTTATTCTATTTCGCGAAGCGAAAGAAGGAAACGGGAGGAGATGAAAATTCGATATAAAGAAGCAAAAAAAAAAGTTAATATTTATACAGCTTGCGTTTTCGCACACACGTACATATGTATGCGTACGAATGTTTATTTGTATGCGCTTTAATTAAACCCCGTTATTTTTATTTGCAGTTTTACGACGACGTTCAATAACGTATAAAATGCAGAGAGCACGCAGTGATATATATATTACAGATGTCGATATATATACGCTGTATATATACGTGGTGTATATATATGAAAAATTTATATATATATATATATATCGTCTACATACGACGGTGACGTGCGAATTAAAATTATTTCTATAAATCCCCTTTTTCAAAATTATTTTTAATATGCAGTGATAATTAAGAAAAAAAAAAAACAATACTGCATCGTTATTATTCGTTAATCGAAAGGAAAGTTAGAGATAGATAGTGGGGGGAGGGAAAGAGAAAGAGAGAATGAGAGAGAGAGAGAGAGAGAGAAAGAGAGAGAGAGAGAGAGAGAAAGAGAAGGAAAATAATTTGTTGGAAAAAAATCGAAACTTAAACGTAAAAATATTATAAGCCTATATCGTTGGTATTAATATTAGCACGGCATTGTTGATATCTTTACATCCAATTAAATATTTAGAATAATCGCACGGCATCGCAAAAGTACCTAGGAATAATATATTCTTTAATATATGAGAGAGAAAGAGAGAGAGAGAGAGAGAGAGAGAAAGAGAGAGAGAAATGAACCCCATAAAAAAAGGACACAAGTACATAAAAAAAAAAAAAACAGGACATGCATAAACATATAACATACATTAATATTAATACATACATAAAATTCGCGCACACGCTGTCTCATTGTATTTGTATGATAGAGAGAATAATATTGTCGTATCAATCATATTTCGTGATCACCGGAGCGACTCATTTTACTCTGTAAAAATGTTTTACAGCGTAAACATTATACCGGGTGTCTTCTAAAACTGCGTAAAAGTCTTTCCTGCTTTTTGTTTCTTTCAAACTGAATCGGATTATATGCTTTTATTTCTTGGGGTACGATAAAGGAATGAAAAAAAGAAAAAAATGAAAAAGAATAATGAAAGAGAGAAAGGAAACAGAAAGAGTTATGTGCGAGATGTGTTGAATGAAAGTGATTTATAATGGTTTGTACTGTAGATTGTATAATATAAACAAGTTGGAAACGATTTTATTAGTGGTCAGAGAGCCCGGAATGTTACAATAATGTATAAGTCTAAAAAAAAAAAAAAAAAAAAAAAAAAAGAAAAAAAAAAGTCTATCGGATATAATCTGGCGAAATTCTTTTTGAAAAGAATAAAAAAAAAAGAGGAATAGAAAGAAAGAGAGAGCTCTTTTAGTCTTGTTCAACACACGACTGTGATCATTTTAGAAACGCCCACGTACGAACTCAACGCCACGTACGAAATCGAACCAGCAATCAACTTTGTGATAGTCTACTATGTACCGATCTGGTAAACTTCGTTGAAATAACCCCATTTCCTATAGATAAGCTGTATAATTAATTAGAACTTTGTCACGTACACGCAAGAAAGAAAAAGAAAAAAAAGAAAAAAGGAAAAGAAAAAAAAACATATTTAATACATTTAAAGATGATAATATGAAATTGTGTTGTCCCCTGATTTGTATCACGTAGGCACGTTTAATAATAAATCGAAATATTATCTATATTTTTTTATATTATCGTATATCTCCCTTACGTTTAATCAACTCTTAATGGTATACTATATATATATAAAATTGTGTACATGTATGTACATATATATATATGTATCTAACTGATTATAATTATTATAAATCGTTTTTCTCTTTTTCTAATCATCGTATATAATGTCGAAGAAAGGTAGATAGGGATATTAGATTATTTTAATTACCTCTAATTATGATGAAAACATTAACTTGTAACTGCTTTATAATTTGTTGTATCTAACTGCGTAATAATGGCGTCCAGGACAAACCGCCAAAAGATCTGATGATCGTTCGCTTCTGTAATCGTTGTTACGTTTATTTTACCTTTTTTATACTTCATTGAGACTAGACTTATGCATTTATTTATTATATAGAAATATTATATGGGATAATCTTTTTATACCTTTTACAATCGGGAGAAGAAAAAATTAAAATCATTCACCTGTATGTTTTCCGTACGTATTAAACGACTCAACTGATTCTCGAATTGAAAATAGTTCCTCGATAAAATTGTATTATTGCGCAAAAGAAAAAAGCTGATTGGCCCTTTGCAAAATTTCGCGAATAACAAGTAAAAATATATATAATGATCATATTATTTCGAAATTATTGTAATCGTATTGTTTCCGTATATACAAATAATTTATTATAATTAATCTTTTCTTTAAAATCGTAGATAATATGTATTTAGTATGTAGTAACATTTAAAATTTTATTTCTATGAATTTCCTATAGAGGGCAATACTGTAGACTAATGAAAGTACACATGATTTCAAAGAATTCAAACTACTCGAAGTGACAAAGTGTTTTGTATTATAGATTTATAAGAAAGATTAATTATTTATACATTATATGTAAGTTTAATATTTTAAAATGTCTTCGTTTACATTTGGAACGCCTACTATAACATCGAGCAGTTCAGGTTTTGGATTAGGAACTCAGAGGTATATGATTTAACTAACCTCTTAATATTATAACCTTTTACATTCTTATGTATTATCGTATAAATTAATGATATTACGATTTATATCGGTGATGATGTTGGCTTAAATAGCACGTCCTTTACTTCAACGACTCCAGCAACTGGGTTAACATTTGGAGCATCAACTCCAGCTACTACTACTGGCCTAAACTTTGGTTTTGGGGCAACACCAGCAACTTCTGCACCTAGTCAACCAGCTACCACTTTGTTAGGAACTGGAACAGCCACAACAACGGCAGCATCTAATCTATTTTCAACTCCAACCACTTCTGCCCCTTTATTTACAGGGCGTAATTTTGGAACACCTGCTCAAAATACAACATTAAAGGGACCTTTAAATACTACACCTGCAACGGGAGGTTTAATGTTTGGGAATCCTACCAGTACACGTAATATTGCATAATAAATTAGGGCATAATAATTAAACAAAAAATAACCGTACTTTATTGGCAAATAATATTTACAGCATCCTTATTTGGTTCTATTAGTAGTGGTGGTTTAGCTGGTACAAAATTAACAACCACTACGACTACAACCTCGACCACAAGTAGAGGATTAGGTGGATTAGATGTTTCTGTTAATAATAAAGGTCTTTCCCAAGGAAGCAATAGTCCAACAGCTGCAAAGGAAAATTTATTACCAAATGAACTGATGCAAACCATAGATAAATTCAAGTAATTAGAAATGAATTATCTGATTGATTATATTACTATAGGGAAATGTATATAACCTTAAATTTTTCTATTTTAATCAGAGAATTTGTAAAAACTCAGAAGGTTTTATCTTCTGATATAGCAAGGGGTTCTGCAAGACCATTAAACCGTTGTGCAGAGGATACTGCATCATTAATGGAAATTTTAACTACATTAGCAGGATCCGTTCAACGAGATCGTGCTTTTGCCGATAAGTTAAAACAAGATACGGCAAAGGCATTACAAAATGCGGAAATAGCTCAGAGAACAAACGACACACCACCTGGCTTGCAATATGAAAATAATGCTCCTCTTTTATTTTTCATGGAATTAACTGAAAATTTTGAACATGACTTAATGTTATTTAGATCTCAAATTGAAACAACAGAAAAACATATTCAAACTATGATGACACCAAAGACCTTAACTCCGCAAGGTATAATAATATTTATTAATAGTCTAAAAGTAACATTGTTTATAATACAACATAAAAATCATACAATTACTTTGTAGAATTAACTATGGCTATGAGTAAACTTCATGAGTCTTTAGTTGCTGTTGCTGGAAAATTACAAGGTGTACATTCAAAAGTACAACAACAAAAGGAACAATATTTAAATTTTAGAAAATACGTGTTAAAAGATAATACAAATGTTTTTGATGATGTTAAAACAAATGAAAAGTCATTGCGAAATACTATAGGAAGAATTACTAGTGGGCCAACACCTTTTAGTCCAGGTTAGAATGTTATTTTTATAATAAGAAATACGTATTATATTAGAAATTTTAATGATTTAATTTTGATAGGCAATAGAAGTTTCCTATCTTCAACAGCATTGAATTCTACTCAAGCAACCAGTTATGACGCGCGAAATCCTCTAGGTAACTAATTAAATGATTGATTTATAATATATTGCAATACTAATTTAATTTCACGCTAAAGACAAACTCCCAAGACAACGTGTGTTCTCGTTGTTACAACTTTCCCATAAACATGTCCTACCTTCAGGTCTTGCGTGGATCTAGTGTAAGGTAGAAATTACTAACATTTAACGTCCTTATTAAGTACTGTAGAAGTAATGTATAAAAGACATGAATCTGCTCTGTGATTTGTCTTCTTTATATATGATACATATATATATATATATATTTTTTTTGTTTGTTTCTACATATTTTTATTATTTGATTTTAATTTTGCGTTTGCAGGGGAAAAGTAGAGGCTGTATTTTAGTTATTGAGGTATTGAATTTTACTTTCTTTTTTGTGTTATAAACTATGGGAAAAATTATGGAGCTTTTCTATTTAATATTTTGGGAGCAAACTTGTGTTTGTCAAATATAAAATATTATATTTGGGTATATATATATATTAACTAAGTGAAAGAAATGAAAAGTTTTGTCTTTTGCTTCTTAAGGAATGGCTGTGTATTTTATGTATGCTTTGAGTGCTCCTGCTTTATCATCGAAGTTGATATAATAATACTTGCATTATTCAAGAAGTGGTGGTAAAATTTGTATGTAAAGATAATATTTCTGCTAGTATCTTTTAGCTAGCAGAATCTTTAGCGTAAGTGCAACTATGGGTAAGATGTAGTTTATGTCATTCAGGAATTATTCAAGTCTAGGAAAAAATTGTAGTAGTTACATTAGCAATTTTTGCTGATTATTTCTATTACATATCAATTATGGATTAAAGCTGCAGATAATGTGTAACACTCATTAATGATTCTATGAATTCATGGAAAACATCCGTCAGCTTCAACTAATGTACGTGCATTTAAGTTTACCATGATCTTTCAATGAATTCATTTTCATTAGTAATTATGTTGTTGCAGTTTGGGGTAGTACAACACCAGTCCCTTCTGCTATAAATACAACCATAGATTCGTCTGTCAAACCACCAACAGCAAGCTTGAACTTCAACGCGCCGACAAATCTTACTGCACCTTTGTCAACAATTGAATCAAATTCGAGTTTCCAACTACAGAAACCACCGATCGGAAATAAAAGAGGGAAACATTAATTTTATTTTTTTATTTTTTCTTTTTTATTTTCATAATTCATAAAAATATTAAATATAAGATAAATTTTCAGATATCTTTTTCATTATTGAAATATGAGTTTCATACATGATTATCTTTGTTAATAATGAATACAAAGTGCATAAGAAGATCTAAAAAATAATATACATATTTATAAACCATCACCTTAATGCTGATATATCAAATAATTGAAATAGATATTTTATATAAATTCTCATTATATTATATTTACAATTAAAAATCAATGCTTATATACGAATCTGCATTGATTTATTTAAACAAATCATTATCACAAGATAATCATCCTGAAAATGAAAATATTTTTATTGCTTTTTAATATAATATATAATTACTACTTATTAATCATTAATAGGTTAAACACAATACAATTTATAAAGTTAGAAAATTAGATAATGAAAAAAAAAAAAAGATCAAATTTAGAATTCACCAATGAATTCATAATTTTGATCCATGTTATTTGATAAAATCATTACATTAATTTATTGATTCTTTGTGTACTTTATAGTTCTCTTTTATTACATACTTTTTATTTAGTAACAAATACTGCATTTACCATTTAAAGAGCACCAACTTGTAAAATTGGAATTAGCAATTTAAAAGCATCTTGAATGTACGAACTTGCATTCTCAGCCTGAACGAATAAAAAATAAATATTAATAATGATAATATAAAATGAAGTATTTTATAATAAATAAGTGAATAAATAAATAAATAAATATATAAATAAATATATATATATATATATATATGTATACATATATACATATACACACTTACTTCAAAAAAGACTGTTGTTATATTAGCATTAATATCGTCTGCACTGTTAGACATTTTAATAAATTCTTTTAATACGTCGGAGAAATGTGTAGCTAATAAACTAATTTCATCTGTTAAGATATGTGTTAGACGAACAAGTGCTTCTGCTTCACTTGCGGTACTACGTCTTTCTTTAATTAAAAGTAATTCTGCAGTTTTATGAAACCTTTCCATACTAACTGCTGTAAACTTTGCTATAGTAGAAATAGCACACTGAAAGATCTCCAGATTTGTATGAGACATGGGAGAGGTAACAAATGAACTAGATCTAACTTCTTTCCAAATCTACAAAAGATATTCTTACTAAGTACATAACAATTTTTATATTATAATAATATATACTTACATCTTCGAGTTTTTCATATGTAATAATAATTTCTAATTCTTGGCAAGCATCGGCCAAACGACTTTTGAGATCTCTTTTATTTTCTGATTTATTTTCTTCATCATCCAAGTCACATAATTCTTTAACTTCTTCTAATGTTTCTTGCAGAGAAATCAAATCTTCTGCATCAAGATTTATCAGACATCCTTGAATCTTTATATTGCACTGCTTTGACAACATTTCTAATGCTTCTAGATGAACCAGGCCTTGATAATCATCAAACAAAGATTCAAAATGAATCTTCCTTGCCAATTGTTTCTCTTCGATCGTTTTTTCTTCAGATTCAGCTTTATCTTTTGCTTCTCTAAGTATTTGAGATAAATTTGGCTTGTTTTCTTCTGGCATAAAAAATGCTCTCTTTTTTTTTAAACCAGGATCACCTTCTTGCAAAACTTCCATGGTCTTTTTACCTATCGCTTCTAAAGTATCCAAACCACCGCTCATAACTTTGCTACCAGTTGATTCAACTAGTTTTGTAATGGATGAAACTCCAAGTAGAAAACTACTTAAACCAAAAGATCCTTGCGATAAACTAGATACATTTTCTGTAAGCTCTTTTTCTATAAACACAAATATACATTAGAAATTTATTAACTTATAATATAATACGTGTGATATAAAAGTAATGTAATAATAATATATAGTACCAGGAATTATAACTTCTTCTTCCTGTGTAGTATCTTGTATCATTTGTAACTGTGAGTTATCCGGTAAATTTATTGTCTCTTCCAAAAGCGATAATCCTTGACTAACATGAGTTGTCAAAGTAGATACTCCAGCAGTAGCGGTGTTAATCAAGGAACTTACGCCCCAACTACCCCAATTGGCCCACAAAGAATTTTCAGTATCTTTATCGTCTATGGATAATCTATCTAATACTGGTTGTATTTTTTGTTCCGTTAGATCTTCATCTAATTCTATATTATTACCAATTTTTTCCCATCCTTGAGGTTTGAATATCTCTTTAAATTTTTTATTTGATTTCAATTCTTCAGGCATATCAACTTCTGAAAGATCTGCATTAGAAGATATATCAGGGACAACATCTATCTCCATTGTAGATTCTTTAGAGATTACATTCTTCGTAGATATATTTTCTTTTACATTATCAATCGTATTAGATGTAATATCAGACTCTTTTTCTATCTTTGTTCCTAGCTTTCGAGCACCAAGTTTTCTAGAACCATCACTTGATTTTTTAGGTCTAATCAATCTTTCCTCTTTAGTACCAATGGCTGTTATACTTTTAGAAATAACTTCTGTAGAATTTTCTTGATTCATAGTAGAAGTTTGTAATGTATTGTCTTTGACTATTGTCGTTTCTGTTGCTGTATCTGTCGAGGGAACAATTTCTTGAATTTTTTCAGTAGATACTTTACTTTCTTCATCGTTACACTCTTTAGTAGATATATCCTTTAAGGTAATAAGCTTTTCCTCATCGCTAGCAACTTCTCCTCGAAAGGAACGGAATCTAGGATTCTCATAAATTAATATATTTTTTCTTGGTAACTGTGGAATGCATTCGGTATCGTCGTCCGATTCAGAATCAACGACCGATTGCATACCAGACCATCTCGTATCTTCTACATTAGTTTTCGAAGTTACATTATGAGCCAATTCCTCGTCAGCACTCTCAAAATCATCACTTTCTGACGTTGCCATATTAATTTTTCATCGAGACATTTACTATTTATTTTTCATATATCCTCTTAATTTGATCTGTCGTTAGATATCACATATCCGTCACAGCAGAGACACACACACGTGCACGTATACTGAAATGCAATATTTAAGTTTTTAATTGATCACGTGGACGAATGAAAATTTTCATAAATATCTATATAGAGGATCATAAAACGCGAAATAACGTCTTCGTGGCAGTAACAAGTTCATTAAATTCAACTGCGCATGCGAGAAGCAAATTATTCAAGCTCCATTAGAGCCAATGAGAAAAATAGTTCGTTCATTTAACATATTCTTACCTATTTCATATTTTGTTAGCTTCGTTAATTGTTCTTTAACATATTAATTAGTATATTTATTTATAAATAGTATATAAAAAGTAGAAAATAATTGGTTTTTCTTTTTTGTTCTTTTTTCTTTTTTTTTTTCTCCCCAAAATTGTACAATTAAATATTTTTCGTATCGTATAAAGTTAATATTAAGGTTAGTCTTCAATCAGCCAATCAACAACGTCTTCCTCGCGCATTAATACCAATTATATACTTTCTCGAACTATTTTCACTTTGATGATTTATATTATAAGAAAAAGAAAATTTATCACAATAAACTTTTATACAATCTCGTAATTATCCTTATTATTAACAATAGCAAAGAAATATTACATGTATTATTACTTTTGATATTAATTATCGTCGAAAATGATTCATTATAGAAAAGTATTAATGAAACGTTGGTATTACATCGTTGGGCGCATGCGTGCGTGCTCGTCTTTTGTTTCGGCTTCCCGCCGTACGTTGTTGCCGTGCAATTCATCAAGCGGGACAATGTACTCGACAAGTTTAACAAATTTGCAAATGATTATCTCATTTTTGTATTGTTTTCTCTTTTCGGAATTATAAATATGATTTAACTATTGTCAAAGACGGTGATTTATCTGTATTCATATGTTATATTTTAATTTACGTGTAATCCAATGATCATCATTGTGACTGTTTCGTTCTTTAGAATCTAATTCGAGAAATTTTCTATTCAACGTTTAAAAAATGTTCGAAAACAAAAAAAGAATGTACGTTAAACTTATTCTCTTTTATTTGAATGTAAAATCAAATCGAAAATAGGATATTTTTGTAATTACATTTATTTCTTTTATAGAAAAAAATTTGCCACTTGAAATCAGGGATGGCGATAGCAGATTCGAGACCCTACGATCAAATATATCTTTTACATCGAAAATTTTTAATCAAAGGTAAATTATTTTCTTTTATTATTTATCTTATATTAATTGATCTATCGCGCATTTTAATAATTATCGTTGGATACATCATAAGTATATAGTGGAATTAATCGATTTTACACTTTATTATATTCCACGTAAATTGAATTTCTTATATTCAGACATACAACGATCGATAATCAATTAAAAAGAAACATTCGGATATAATTAGTAAGAAATTTGCATTCGATTGTTATGGTTCCATTAATTTCGCAAATATTATTATTTTGATTAGAGTTAGACCGAAGATAAGATAATATAACGAAAGACCCCAATGAGGAACGAGATGGCGTAGATAGAAATGAATGCAGTTTTAAACGGAAACCATTGGACCATGTCAATATCGTTATAGACTAACTGTGAAACCTCTTGGGACAGTTAGAATAGAGTAAATTAATTGCCGTCGTCGTTGTTGTTGTATGCGTCGTCGTCATCGTCATCCTCGTCGTTTGCGTCCTCGGTGCCAGAATGTCTTCAATCTTTGAAATGCTTCTGTGTGTTAGCAGTATGGAAGAGGTACATTACAAACACTGCTTGTTCTGACAGAAGCAAGATTAATCAACGATACCAACGATCCGGTTGTTCCGAGTTGAGCAAGAATTCAATTCGACTCGTCTCGTCTTTGTCACTGTCTCTTTCTCTTTCTCTTTCTCCCTCTCTTTCTCTTTCTCCCTCTCTTTCTCTTTCTCCCTCTCTTTCTCTTTCTCCCTCTCTTTCTCTTTCTCCCTCTCTTTCTCTTTCTCTTTCTCCCTCTCTTTCTCTTTCTCTTTCTCCCTCTCTTTCTCTTTCTCTTCCTCTTCTTCTTCCTCAACCTCTACTCACTCACTTTCTCTCTCTCTTTCTCGTTTACACCTCGCATTCACACGCAAGGGAGATAACTCTTCCCACCAACCTTCTATTTTCTCCTCGACGAATCCTTTACGAGCTACCGACGAATTTACTCAGAACTATTCAACAATGGCACGCAAAATTCAAATTGCTTTGGAGCAATTTGTTCGGAGTAAATACATGAGTATGATTTTGAAATAATATGAATAAATTATATTAATATATTATTATGAACAGACAGGAATTTTTGATATATATATATATTTTTTTTTTTTAGTTGAACGAGTAAGAAGGGAATTCGTGAATAAGAATATTCAGAAAATAATGGTGAACAAAGAATGCGTTAGCTTAACGATGTGGCTTTAGTAGACGAATCTCTGGTTAAATATATGAATAAGGGAGAGAGATTAGTTTCATGAAATATCGTATGTAATTTCGACTAGGAAGATGTCCTTGGTAAGCCTGCCACTTCGTGTTACAACTTAATGAGACCTCTCCAAAGGAAGCATCTGTCCTTTTCATTTCGCGACAATGTATATATATGTACGTATAATCTTTTCCATCGTTTCTCCGTTAACAGTGAGCAATACTTTGAAATTATTTCCTCTTTATTACTCGTGAGAAAACATTAAAGTTTTCATCCAAGGAACATTAACTTTTTTCATTTTTACTTATTAGAAATTTTTGGAAACAATTTTCGCTTGGAAATTATTGTATAAAATTATTTCAATTAAATAATTCATAACTTTACTTTTATTTTTGTTGTTGTAACAGATATACGAAAGAGTTTCAAAGTTTTATTGTATATTTGAAATGAAATTTTGGAAGTAAAATCGCGTGATATTAATAAAATTAACTTTTAGGAATATACATATCTATATACATAAACGATGCCATTACGAGGATGAGAAGAAAGTAGAGAATAACGAGCAACTTTTTCCACCATACATATAACGTCAGGAAATTACTATAGTATTATTATTATGATTTTGAAAGCATGTAGAAAATTTATGAAACTATTTCATACGATAGGCGAGTATCAAAGGACAAATGAATTTTCTCGTAACTCTTTAATCGACATTTTGATTATCGATTCCCGCGTTATCTCTCTTAATGATCGTTAGTCAACGTATACGTACATATATACGTTGATCGATCGAAGTAACGAAGCATGGCATTTAGAGTTCGTTAAAATTTAACGATTCCAATGTGTGGAATGATAGGGAACTTTCATAAGTCATTTTTCATAGCTCGTTTTACTTTATGTTGACGAGGACATTTTGCCTAGCTATAATAAACGCTGTAATAAATAATACTTTTGATTATTTTATAATTATTCAAATAATCTATAAGTACACGGAATATACTAAATTATCATTTTAATAATAGTACAATCTAATATTACATTCGCGTAATATTAGATATCTTGTAACACGTATTACATATAAATTAATTTTAATATAATTTATCCTATTTGATGAGTAATGATTATTAATTGTTTCATAAATAAAACTATAGAAAAAATTGCAAAATGAAACAAATTACTCTTGAACAATGAGAAATTAGAATTGCGAAATAACAGTATGACGGGGTAGAGGAGTAAGGGAAAAGTAAGATTATATCGTTTGTGATTATGAAGTACTCTGAAACTTTTGCAATATCTGCCTTACAAACCAGCTTCTTAGAATATTGTCCTATGTTAGTTTGTAACTTTTTCTTTCTTTCTTCCTTTCTTTCTTTTTTCCTTTACTTTTCCTTTTTCTTTTTCCTTTTTAATAACTTCTTCTTTTCTACTACATATACTTATAAATATATATATATATATATGTATACATAAGATAAAAAAAGTATATAAATACACATTTTTTACTGAGTATACACATTTATATCAAATATATCAAGGAAATATTGCTCTAAACTCCCATGACATTGCACATTTTCATTGTCTACTAGATGATAATTAGACGTATACTCATGGGAATAACATTTATTTATTCGGCAAAAAGAAATTAACTCGTATAATTATCAATGGACATTACTACGCTTGGCTCTCTCTCTCTCTCTCTCTCTCTCTTTCTTTTTCTTTCTTTTTTGTGTTCTCTTTCTCCAAATATTATTAAAAATGTAACACTTGGAACATACTTAATCTGATGAAACGTTACGCCTATTATGTTCATATATAATTATTTCATATGTAATTTAATTTCTTTAGATGTACATACGTACACATACATATGAACACATAGATATAGCATTATATATATAATAATGAAAAACATCGTTGGCAATTTTTGTTTTAATATTCTAATGTACTTTATTATTTAATTAAATAATCTAATAATAATAATAATAATAATAATAGTCACTTCATAAAGGATTCTATAACTATGTTACATCACATATGTATGATGTACATATATATATGTATATATATATATATATATATATATATATATATATATATATATATATACGTATATATATCACTTGCTCGTATACGTTAGTTGTTAGTACTAGAAACCGTCGCTAGTTTACGCATAGGGGTTTGATGTTTCCCGCTTGCGATACGGCACTGTTACGATTTTATCTATGTTGCAGGGACGGCGAAAAGCATACTTACCTGGCGCAGAGGTTACCGTGATCACAAAGGCGGTTCCTCCAGGGTGAGGCTCTTCCATTGCACTTCGGTTGAGCTGACCCTTGCGAATATCCCTAATGCGGATATCTCGGGCGTAAAATTTTTGATAGTTGGGACTGCGTTCGCGCTATCCCAAATAAATTTATTTTCAAAAATTAATTTCTTATCACGACAATATATTAATATATATATATATATTAAACATTGTTGAAAGGGAAGAAAACGAAAATAATATTGGACTTTTTATAATTAATTTGCCATTTTAGTCCTTTTATTTTATTTTTATGTAAATTTTAAGAGAAGACTTAAAAAGATCTCTCTCTGATTTTCCATTCATCATATTTAATATCCTTTCTTGTTTAAAGGACAAATAATTATATTATAATAATATTTCTCTATTTTGATGCGTTTTAAGAAAATGGAAATAAATAAACTAATTGATAATAATTTTATCCTTATGAAATTTTTCAAACGGGACCTTATTTACCGCTTTTTATCGAGAAAGGGAAATGATCGATTCTGATTAGTGGATTTATTTACATATTACGCTTTTACGTATTTACATTTCTTATGTCTTCCTAATAGAGAAGTAATGACATTTTCTATTCAATGGTTCCTAAAAGTGTGTTTTCTATGATATATTATTCGTGAATCGTGACAACGGTACTGAAAAAGAAATAACAATGAAAATAAAAGTGGTGATTGTATATTGTTTTTTCTTTCTTCTTTTTTTCATACTTTTTGGCATTATTTATTTATAGATCTTCCTTTTCTCTTCTGATTAATTGATTCTAATATATTTATGATGTATTTCGATGATTCGTATAATCTTATATCGTATTTATAAAAATTTTTTATTTTCGATTATTAGATCGAGAAATTATATTTATTCCAGACGACATTAATCAAGATGACGTAATGTACGTGCAGGATGAGAATCTTTTTACCACCGAAGTCAGTTATCAACTAGTGACAGAATATACATCGTTCTTCTTTTAATTACAGGTAATAAGAATTTATTTTTTAAGATATATTTTCTTTCGATATATCAATCGATTCTTAAAAGTGTGTTTTTTATGGTGTATTATTCGTAAATCGTGACAACTGAACTGAAAATGAAATATTAATGAAAATAAAAGTGGTGATCGTATATATAGCGTCTTTTCTTTCTTTCGTATTTTTTGGCATTATTTCTCTACGTATCTTACTTTTCTCTTCTAATTATTTGATTCTAGTATATTTGTAATGTATTCCGACGATTCGTATAATTTTATATCGTATTTATAAAAATTTTATATTATCGATTATTAGATCGAAACATATCGTATTAATGGACTAGCAACGTATCTGCGCATGCGCGGCGCGAATTGTTTAATCGCCTTGCCGGTGTATATGACGCCATTTTGTGTTCGGTGATCATTAGTTAGACAGGGAAGCCGTATCGTCCTCATTAATTTCAGGTAATTAGTATATTTTTTCTAACGTACATCCTCTTCCTATATATCAATCGATTGCGAAAAACACGATTTTCATGGGTGAATGTTCGCAAGTCGGGGCATTGTCGCGTTTAAAAGATATTCGCGAAAATAAAATATGCATCTTGGCGTCCTTTTGGAAGCTATTGCGTCATACCTTTTTTTCGAATTTTTTACTCTTATTTTTACGATATCGATATTTCTCTCGTTTTTTAATGATGCTTTTAATAATAATTTATCATTAATTAATCATCATTAATCGTATTTCGCGTTATATTCGATTTTTGTATTTATATATATATATATATAATATGTATATATATATATATCATCGCATATTCATATATGTATATATGTACGTGCATGCTTGGATATCCCCTTACTTATATATGTATATATGTACACACACACAATGTATTTTTTTTCTTACCAATCGATCTTGTATTGTCCAGGTTTCCAAGAATTCTATGGACTGAAACAGACGGAATATTTTGGCTTTTCTTTTTCTACACACACTTTCTCGTCGTCCTGTGTTAGGTAAGTCTCTTTTTCTTTTTAAAAACAAAACGAGAGTGAGTGAGAGAGAGAGAGAGAGAGAGAGAAAGAGAGAGAGAGAGAGAGAGAGAGAAAGAGAGAGAGAGAGAGAGAGAGCATGCTTTCGGTAAAGTACACAATCGTAGATCTGCGAATTTCCAAGAAAGTCTCCGATCGAGCGCGTGACGAAAACAGTCGAACGTTCGAGCTCGTCCAAGGACAATAGTACAAGCATTAGTCTTATAGAATCTTTCGGTATGTACGTTCGTACGTAATTAAGAGAACGTCGATTAAAATTTTCCTCCTTAAATTTATTTTATTCCAGAATAGTTTTATTTCTATTTATTTGATGTCATAGGAAATTTTATTATAGCACAACAAACTATAGAAATTTATATACTTTATAATTTAGTCTATTGGTCCACTTATTATTTTATTTGAAATGTATTTTAGGATACAAGCGTGTCTCACCATCGGCTATGTATTTTGATACATCTTTAAAGACTTTATTTAACTTTGAATAATTTTATTTCAAACATTAATTACATGTCATTAATTTAATAATAATTTTTAAATATTATACTTTTTAATTTGCAAAATCAAAAATGATTCACAGGACATGTGCTTTGTAAATGTTGTGTTTTATATATATTTATATATATATATATATGTATATAAAGTTTATCATTTCGTATGTTTCAGCTTTTTGGATTTTAGAAATAATTTGTGATCGTGTGCAAAGCGGTCTTAGAGTCAGTGTTTGCTCGTACCAGTTTTAATTTACTTTTTTATACTTAAATAAGCTGATCAAATATAATTAGATTCAATAGAAATTCGCGAATTAGAGTCATACTTGGATTAAATCATCATCATTCTTCATTATCTTGGGGAGTAGGATGCTCATCGTACAAAGGACTGACAAGGGCTTCGGTAAATTTCTTTTTTATTTCTCCATAAATTTACCAATTTTTTAATATAACAATGATACTAATAATGTGTTTTTTGTTTCTTTTTCAGCTGAAATGAAAGAAGAATCATCCTTTTCATAATCACGGGGCAGGATGCTCATCGTGCAAGGCTCAATGAAGACTTTAAGTAAGAAAAGTTTTTTAATTAAACAATTCTTCAATAATTTAAATGATTTTTTTATTACAACAATGATACTAATAATTTTGTTTTTGTTATTTTCAGAACGTCATTGCGATCGTGCGCGAAGCAATGGATAAATCGAGTGTTGTATCGCTAAAATAAAAAGCAAAAAGTCGCGAAGTAGAAGCAGTGTGTTTGTTCGTTCGTGTTTCGCGATTTAAACTTGTGTGTGTTTTTGCCTCGACTGCGTGCAATGCAGTCATTAGAATCAGTGTTTGTTCTCGAAGTTTTTTCACAGTCGCACATGATTGTATTTATAAAAGACAGTAGAATTTCGTGCATTAACTTCAGTGAACGTTCGTTAAAAAATAACTGTCGCGTATTAGAATCAGTGCATCATTGAAGAGGATCTCGACCAACTTCGATGTCGACTTACTACCTCATTTTCAACCAACTACAAATCATCCACCCTCAATTTCGACCTAAATCGCGGACGAGTGTTTTGGAGCCATCGCAGAACTTCTTAAGTAGTAAGTGAACAAATTTTAAGTTCCTCCAGTGCTCAATCATGCCGAGGACGAATGGTCCGAATCGGCACGAGTTACTGGTTGTAATTTTTTTTAGATGAATTATTAACGAGCATGACCGAGAGTAATTCCCTTTTTTGGATTTACTCACGAGTACAAAGATTTATTTTTAATCGTTTATTTGCTTTCAATTGTCCATGTTTGTTTTTATTAGCTTAGGCTATAGGGTTTTCTTGTTTCATCAGTTTGACCCGTTTAATTATCAATGCATAAAATTAGTTATTTCTTTCGCGATATTAATTATGAAATCGGGCATTCATTTACCCGATTTCGTCAAGAGAAAAACATGTATTACGGTTTAGATTACATGCATTGCTTGTTTCGTACTTACTATTAATCTATTTAATCGCGGTCTATCACGTCGATGTATCGATATAAATGTATCAAAATATGAACAAGAAGACAATCGCGACGGATAGATTTTGGAAAACAAGTGGTAAATATTCATGATACTTGCTCTATAATTGAAATAACACTTGTTAAAAGAAATCGTCCTAGGTTTTTCAATGAAAAATTTAAATAAATATTCAATGAATTTTCTTGATGAATGAAAAGTCTCAATAGAGTCATTGTTTTTGAAAGGAAAAAGTCGAGTAGAGTAATTGTTAAAAAAAAATAAACAAAGAGACTTGTAAAGTCATAGCCCGTAGAATCAAAAATAAATTAATCAATTTTTAAATCAGGATTTTCAGCTTCTAACAAACTAATTATCTCCCCTCTCCCTCATGCTTTCTGCGTTCCTCACTCATGCATGTGCCCAGGTGTTACTCGTATGGATGAGAAACGGGATTAGTATGAATTTAATTTTAAGTTCTCCCTTATTGGCGGCTGTCAATGTGTTAGTGATTGCGCACGATATACTTTTCACCTGTGTGTGCTTGCTCGTATTAGGTGGTGGATTGTACATCGTTTTGCGATAACTTTTAAATAATTACATATCCTATAAATTCAATATATTATTATTAATATCGTTTTGCATAGTAGAGTTACTACATTTTCTTGAAATATTCAAATACTCATATATTACTAATACCGGTTTGTAGTATATCGGTATGTACTAGTATCTTTTTTTTTTTCCTTTAACCATTTACGCAATTAATAATCATTAGCCTTGACAGCCGATTACAGCAATTGGTACGTATCCCCTAATTAATTATGAATTATACGTGTATGAGCTAGGGTGTCGGAGGTGCCCCGGGGCATACTCTCTAGTGTAGGCTTTTGCACCCTGGCGGTATGTGAGAGAATCGTGGAGTGTATGTGTTGGAACGAATGTTTTGCAATTTTTTAAATATAGGTTATAGGCAGGCAGGTAGCATATCTTTTTCTGTGTGATTGTCCGTTTAATTTTAAGCAGGTAGGACCGAATAAGATACGCAGGGTATAATTTTCACTCAAAAGTGAAAATTTCCGTCTCCGGATATTATACAAAGTTTCAGCAAATTTTAGAATTTTTCACCATATCCGCCTTTTTCCATATTTTGCTGATACTCTGTATTGCGAGATATAACAGTATCAAACAGTTTAAACAGTCTTTGCATAAGACTTTTCAACATGTTCGATATTTAGTATTAAGTGTATTAACAGTTTGCACTTTCGTGATATCCCATAATAATTTCTAATATCTAATATATTATATATTTGTAGTGAAGTAAAAGTAATGAAAGTACAAAATTGTGAGAGGAATTTCTGTTGGAAATAAATACTTTGCTATTTTTTTAAATATAGGTTATTGGCAGGTTGGTTAGAGTATATATCTTTTTATGTTTAATTTGAAATAAGTAGGACTGTTTTTTGGATATTAAAGCGCCTAAAATGGCTGCTATTTAAATTCTATTATATGCATATATGCATTTCCGAAAAGGGAAACATATTGAAAATTAAATATAATTACTTCACCGTTATTTTCTATGATGAACATAATTTCGTTGGAAATATATCGAAGAATTTATTAGATTTCTTGAATTTAAAAAATTTTAAAAATTTGATACTATTGAATTATTTATTTAAACTCCTATCGTAGTTTAATTTATATTTAATTAAATTCATTTCCTATTACTGTAATAATAAATTTTATATTTATCTCTACAGTAATATTTATTAATAAAATATTTAATTATTGAAAATGTATATTTCAGGTGTGTGGCCTTAATTGGCACATAAATTTGATTTGCTTATTTATTATTAATATTTATAGGAACAGAACAAAATTGCATATTTTAGCATATTAATGCAATTTTATTCCACTTGTTCTTGTGATTTCTTGTTAATATACTATTTTGAATTTTCCAGATATTTAACGATGAGAACGTATGATTGTATGTATGAAATGTAAAGTTGCACAGAAAGAATTAATATATAATGTGAACATTGTTTTATCTTTGATAATGTATATATATGTATATAATAATGTATATAATATAATGGTAGATACTTATTTTTTTAACATTACCTATTCCTATTGCATGTTAATTTATTTGAATATAATTATAAGGCATGATGCATGTTAAGATTCTTATGCTTTTGCATGTTTAGCTTAATAGTACTATTAAGAATTCTACTTTTAAGGTTAATTTATTTTTAAGATTAATTTAAGATAAAAAAGGCAATTCGGTCGATTGTCTGTCGTTTAGTAATTAAGATAGTTCAAAAAGCGTGGAACTATTTCCATCATATTTCCAATTAGCTTCATTAACTTTTATTAATCTCCAACTTTTAATTCAGCAATAATGTAATATATTAAAACTTATTAGAAATGTGTTAATTATTGTGAATTTAATTGTTCAATTAAATTTAACATTGAATTCAATTTAACGAATTGAATTCAATTATGTTAATATAACAAATATAAAAATATAATAAATTGATAGTAAGTGTAGCTTCATGGTAATTATTAGAAGATACGCATATAATTTGTATATACCAAGGTTATACAAATTATACGTAAAAATGACGTCAATTATGTCGAGATAATTTTGTATTATTTTTTAAATAGACATTTAATAAAAAAAAGTCCACGCTTTTTTTCTCGGGTAGGTTAGGACAACAAAGTCATGATTGATGCATCCTCAATCGACTTCGACCGGCTCGACTGAAGGTTCATTAAACTCGACTAATCAATGTTTTCTTAGCCCGTGGATCTTCGGATGCAGCAACCTCCACGTGGTAAGATCTGGGTCGGTATTACTTGCGATTCCATCGATCATCTAAATCTAAATTATGTGACGCAAGTACTACCGGGCGAATGGCTGCATAATTCAGTGCGTTTCTAAAACGTTTGTCTTTTTTCTTCTTTTTAATTGTATTAAAAAATTATAATTCTAAATTATCACATGTTGTTAATGTTAATTTCTTACTTAATTAAACGTACTGGATATCTTATAATTAGAATTTCAATGATTTTGAATTTTATTTCCATCAAAAGTTATATTATGATAGCAATGAATAGGATTGGGATAAAGTTATCAGCTGTTACTAATGCATAGGAAGTTTTCAATAAAATTGAAATCCTCTGTAGCGTATTGATAACTTTGAAATAGATATACAACTGTGAGTTACGCATCTGAAATATTAATCTCTGCTTTTATTCTCCGATTTTATATCTTTATTAATCATCGCTTGGCGGTTGCGAAAAGAGAAATTCGTTTTTCCTAATAGAATATTTATCCAATCTATATTTCTGCGAATCACTTTATACGTATCGCCAATATTCCGAAGTTTGATTTATTGGCTTGATTGACAAATAATTACCATTTTATTGTAACAAAATTTTATAATTTATTAGAATACAACGGTATTTTTATTTATAAATTAATGAATTCAATATTTTATATTATTAATCTTATCATTTTATACAGCTGTTGGATTAATTCTTATAAGAATTTATGATGATTATCTATTTATCTATGAATTCGTTAGATTTTAGAAGAGATAGAAAAAAAACTTTTATTCGATAAAATGTGAAATATTTTATTATAGGTAGCGTTGTCGTAAAAATAATTAGGTTTTTTTTTCTTTTTTTTTTTTTTTTTTTTTTTTTTTTTTCTTTTTCATGCAACATTTATTCTTGAGACAATACTCGTTCGTCATTTCATATAATCACAAGATTAGGATCAGATGGAGCAAAAGGGGGATGGGGTAAGGGGGTGACTTTGGAATGAGAGGATGAGAAGCAGGTTTAAACGCTAAGTGGTCGTACGTTGGTAATTCAGGCATGCGCTCGTAAGGTGGCGGCTGGTTTAACCTGGTGAGGGTTTCGCAAGAGGGCGAAGGAAGAAGAATCAAGGACGAGAAGGCGGCGGCGGCGGGAGTACGACAAGAGTAAAGCGAGTAAGCACGCGCGCGCAGCCCTGATGTGTTAAAAGGGAGTTGTGTGCTCGCAATACGATGCTGTGGTACCCTCGTTCTCGTTGAAATCGCCTCAGTTCATTCGCGACTCTCTTGACACGAGGGTGAATGAAAAACACCGGTAGGCTACACATTATTCCTTTTTCATATCGTAATTCGCGATCGCGTTTTATCAGTGAAAGTGTATTTCATCGAATGAAAATACAATAATACGAGGAAAAATCCATCATGTTGATTAGATATTTTTCATTATCAGGATTATTATCATCATCATCATCTATCTTGTCGTTCGATGGAGACGATATTAACGGAGAAAACAGTATTAAGAAAAGTCATTGATCAATCGGCGTAGATTAGAATTTTTGAAATTATTCAAAGGGATGATGATAAAGAATATTACGATGCCAGTGAAGATGGATATCCTAAGGAAGCTGATTCAACCTAAATTGAAGCTCGTCCTATTTGCGTTGATTTTTTATATGGACACAGCTCTGGCCGGAAGTTGCAGTGCTGCGAAGCTTTGTTGTCAAGGAAGAGACTCCGGTTGTGTCATACAAAAGGAATCACCTAATGCCATTATCGAGAGTCCACGAGACAAACCGTGTTATTGCGATCACGCGTGTCTCAAACTCGCTGATTGTTGTGACGATTTCAAGGAAACTTGTGGCGGTATGTTTCTGCGAGAATTTTTTTTCTTTCTCTCTCTCTTTCTCTCTCCGTGATTCCTTCTTGACTTTTTGAATTTTCTTCGCTTTTTTTTTTTTTTTTTTTTTTTTTTAATTATAAGTATTTATTCATTAAATATAGATATAGGTAATAACGAAGTATAAGACGATAAGACGAATTTGTAGCAACTTTATATGATCTCTCCAATTAAAACTTTTTTCTTTCGACGAGCTTTTTTTTTTTATTATACTTTTAAATGGACTATATAAAAAAAAAGTTTTTTTCCTTTTCTTTAAGGATTATGAAATATAGCGATATTATGTTATGCATTGATGAACCAACGCGAACCACTTTGAAAATTTTTCATTCTTCATAAATTATTTCGATAAAAGTTATTTCGATATCCAATAATTTTCAGATAAAATTATACCGGTTAATTTTGAGTAAATTTATTTTTTTATTTCGAAGTTGTATAATTATGAAGCAATTTAAAGGTAGTTACCTTAGGAAATTTTATTCGGTATAAAGCGATGAATTATAGAAAATTGTTGGATTTTCTTCTATAAAAGAGGAAAGTTATAAACTTTTTCTAATATATATATATATATATATAAAAGCGTAATGCAGTAAAAGATGTAAAAGAAAGTAGATAATTTCCAATGTTCAATTCAACGTCGACCATATTAATTTTGCTTTAGGGCAAACGATCTCGAGAAATAGAAATAATAAAATAGACATCAAACAAATGGATGGATAGACTCAAGCTCGAAATTGACATGACAAATGCGATAAATTCAATTTGGTGGTGGAACGTTTTCAACGCGTACGAAGTTTCAATCGTAATCTAGTTTTAACGCTTTCCGTACGATTTTTACGATCGACTGTCTATATAGTATGCATATATGTATATACATATATAAAAAAAATAGATAACTTAAAAATATGATGCATTTAGTGATCTATAAAATTTTTTTTATTAGATATGTGTCTATTGTACAGATGTGTCTTATGAGTTAGAGCTACGAGAAATCGATATTTCGAATTAATAGGATTTGATTTCGCTCGACCTAATTTTTTTTTCTTTTTTTTTTTTTTTTTTTTTTTTTTAGAAAGGAAGAGAGAGAGAGAGAGAAAGAGAGGGAGAAATAAAGAAAAAAGAATTGTATCGTTTAATTAAAATCGTGAAATCGCGTTTTAAACCAGCGAGTTGATGAGAATAAAAACGAAAGAACAAATGATAAGGTAATTCTATTAATGGTTTTTCATCTGGCGATTATAATTAAAGTTGAAAGTTCAAAATTTTACTCTAAAGGCTTATTATTACTTTTCGTTGACGTGTTTCCGTCAAAAGGGAAAATCCGAATTGAGGATTTTTCTTCTTCAAGATTTATCACGACGTTTTACGACTATCTGAGGTGAATTTGATAAAGTAAGAGAGGGAGAGAGATAGAAAGAGGGAAAGGGAGAGACTATAAGTACGGAAAAGGAACGATAGTGATTTGCGAAGGAACGAGGAGGTGCGAAGCTCTGCCGGAAAACGATTATCTTGCTTCCGGTCCGGACGTAAAGAGTCTTCTGTCATCTCCCAGACATAAGAAGCTACCATCACGTTCCTCGTATTATTTGTTCTTACTGTTAACCAAGATGAATCGAGTATTAAATAGAAAAATCGATTCGATTTGTTCTTTTTTTTTCTTTTTTTTTTCTTTTTACTTCTTTTCTTTTCTTTTTCTCTTCATTTATCTGTCTCGAAAATGATTATATTCTTATAATATTGGATCTATCAATTTTTACTTTTTTTTATTCTATAATGTTTCAAGATATAATTGCATTTTATTTAAAAAAGATATCTATCGATTTATATTTGATTTTATTATTACTGTTTTTTTTTTTTTTTTTTTTTTTTTTTTTTCTCTCTCTCCAAACACACGAAAGTTACTTCTCAATTTGTGACAATTCGAAAACAACAACGTGAAAAACTGTGTTTACCTCGATGTACGCACGTACGTATGTAGATATGTACATATGAATGAAACGATTTGTTTATTGTTCTGGTAAACGATTTTTAAATTACCTTCATATTTTGACATATAATAGAGTTTTAGTGGCTATCGTTATAGTATTTGTCTCTTTGTTAGCAACGAATTCTCAAACCCGAATGGATGAAATAATTTAGCTTGACGTATACAGAATCGATCGATCACCGCGCCCTGTTTAGGGATCGAGGTTAATATAAAGGGAATAGGTTATCGAAGGATGGATGGGTTCGTAACACAACACATCTTTCTCTCACATATCACGTATCATAGGATTTCAATGTATATATGTTTACTTTTTTATTTTTCTATTAAATTTTGAACAATACCTACAATTTTTTTTCTTTTCTTCTCAGCTTTTATATATATATATTTATTTATATATATGTATTTCGATAGCGATTTGATTAAGGATAGGTCTCTTTGAATATTCGTGAAATCTTTCTATTATTCTCGTATGATACGAGTTCGATGGATCTATTCACAATGAGAAACGAAGAATTCATCGTAAATGAATTGACGCATCGTATTACTCGCGCATACGTACATATGTATGTACATATGTATATATCCACGCTTTTCTATTGGTTCTATTGAATTCAACGTCAAAAAAATAGGCTTGAGTTGGTATTCATAATCCCTTTTTCTTTTTTTTTCTCTATTTCTCCCTCCCCCCTCTGTCTCTCTCGTTATTTTTTTCAAGTCCAACGATCTAAATGTCTCTCTTTGTATTTATAAATCACACAGAAATCTACGAAGCATTCACGTGAAATGAGCTTTAACGCATATTTCAACGTTCCTCTTTTAAACAAAAATCGTTTGATTGTTCTTCATTTCAAAGCGTTTAAATGCGGATAATAACAAATCTTTTTGGAAAAATACATCTATGCATTTATGCCATGAAATAAACTGCGAGTATTTTCGGAAGAGTTGTTGCACCGCGATGCAATAAATAATGTCAGTTATATAAAGGGATAAAACGGCTACATTTCACCAAGAAGATTATATTGCACAAGCGACAATGAGAAAAAGATATACGAAAAGCCGATAGCCATTTTGTCGGTAACATAGCCGAACTATCTATATATAGCTATCTTATAGTCATGATTTTCTTCTATTCAATATTCGTTTCAGATTTAAAATTTTAACATTTTTTTCTTCTCCCTTTTTTTTTTTTTTTTATCTCGATTCATCTGCATTCGACACGTACGTGTACGTACGATGGTGATCATGATGAAAATAGCCTAATATAAATATATATATATATTTATATATTTTATTTTTTTCAGTTTCACGTTATTCTAATGCAGATCAACGTTATAATGAATAATAACAATTTGTATTATTATTATTATTATTGCTATTTTAAAGTAATATATTTTCTTCTCAATTATCCTTCTTTTTTTTTTCAAATATTTTAATCAGGCCACTCACATAAAATTATTTCCGCATAATTTCTTGTATAGAGAATTTTCTGTATGCATATAAATTGTAGATATTTCTCCTCTCTTGCAGTCGTAGATTGCATAGTGAACGAATGGAGCGAGTGGTCGGCATGCAACACCGGATGCGGTAGTGGAATGCAAAAAAGAAGTCGCAGCGTACGGATCTCGGAGAAAAACGGCGGGAAGCATTGTCCTAGACTGGATCAAATCAGAAGCTGTCGAAGCTTTCAATCTTGTCACTCTGGCATTCTTCGTCCTCTACTTCACGACAGGAGTGAGTGATCACGCGTGTACCACGAGAAAATTGCTTTCGTTTTGCTCGCTTTTTCGCTTCATCTCGCTTGCTCTCGTTACTCGATACTCGTTCGATTTATCGTTTTTTTTTTTTTTTTTTTTATTTTTTTTTTTTTTTTTTTTTTTTTGATTGGTGGGTTGGTTGGTTGAATAGGTGGGTGGAGGTTTGTTGGAATGGGATGGGCTGGAGAAGGGATTTTTGTTTATTTTTAGTTTTTTTTTTAATTTTTTCTTTTTTTTTTTCGGTTATGCCGAACATGCTCCAGACGATCGACGATTTTCGATTGATCTTTCGTAGGTGTGACACTACTCTCCTTCTTACCTGGCGACTACAACGATACAGAAGTTGGCATTGGAAATGAAATATCCAGAATGAGGTAAGAGACAGAAAAAACAAGAGAAAAAGCGAGAGAGAGAGAGAGAGAGAGAGAAAAAGGAAAAAATACGCCCTTTTGCTTTATATACTTTTTTCTTTTTTTTGTTGCTTTTTTTTCTCTTTTTTCCTTCTCGTTCTAACCTTCTTTGCAAAATGCGATTTGCTCGCACTTGTTTGCACTCACGCGCTTATTTATACAGCTACTCTTTCGTTCGTTCATTCGTTCGTTCATTCGTTCGTTCATTCGTTCGTTCATTCGTTCACTCGCTCTCTTACGTTTTTATTACGAGCATACCGTTAAACGAGACTCTTTTCGCTGCGAGAATCCTATCTCTTTATACAAACGCAAACATTTGCAAGTAGATTTATCTCGAGAGAAAACTTATTTCCCTTCGTTATAGTAATTTTTTCTACGTGATTTCGAAGGGATAACATATTTATTTGCCCAATTAATAGAATCGACGTATATACGTTAGAATGATAATTTTCGAGCATAAATTTTTTTGCAATTAACAATATCTATTTATCTTGTATGAATTTAATAATGCAATCTTGAATGAAATGATGTTAATAATTTATCTTATCATTATCAACCGACACGTGTCATTCGTTTTTTCGTACAATGAAATCGTCCTTAACATTCCCCTTTCTCGTATATACATTTTTTAATAATGTTTCATTTACGCTTACATTTTTTATTCAAACGTCAGAAGAAACGAATTCTGCTTTGGTTACACGTCATGGTATTTCATCAGATTTCCCAATGACAATTTCTATTTTTCTTTTTCTTTCTTTTTTTTTTTTTTTTGTAATCTTGTTTTTTTCCAATTTATACGCTCCTTTTTTTTTTTTTTTTTTTTTTTTTTTTTTTACAACGGTCGTCTAACAGGTCGACAAAACGAAATTCGATGCTGACAGCACGCTGAAAATTGTCGCACGCACGTACGTACGCTTTTGGACATTTTCGCGCCACATCGATGTAAACGAGAGAGAGAGAGAGAGAGAGAGATAAATCTACAAGTCTATCGATCGAACATATACATATGTACATATTCATTTATATATACATATCTATCTATCTATTTATCTATGTATGTATGTATAGATGTATGTATGTATGTATGTATGTATACATACAGACAATACGAGCTACCACATCCGGAAAATTTTCCATGAAAAATCCATCGACAGACCGAGATACGAGGTGTGAACAAAACGTTTATCGTTATTGATAACTAATAAAGCTCATCGATTGTACATTGCTTTTAATTCGAGCTTTAATACGAATGAATCGAACGCGTTCTATAGAAATATATTATCTATTTATACATTATGTATTAATTTATATATTATAAGTTAAATGTTTCCTTTCGTTCGTTTTGTTTTCAATGTATTTATTTTAGAATAGCTCTTTTCCTTTTTTATGACAAATGCGAACAGCAGTAATAGTTATTCATTTACGAACGATCAATTTTTTGTGCTATAACATGAATTCTTTTCTTTTTTTCTTACCTCTTCTTC